ACGGACCAAATGTTCAAAACAGCAAGGACATTTAGTATAGAACCACAAACAGAACAAGTCGGAGCGGGAGCCCACGCGACACACGACTTACTCCTCCGCCATTTTGCCCTGCCTCCCCAAATAAACACATTTTAAGACAATCACACCTTAGAACATGGACTGATCTCAACTTTTCTTGGCTGCTTTAAAGTTACAAGTAGTTTATTGACAAAAAATTAAATGAATTTACCTTTTTCAGAAATTAGCTACAGCTGACAACAAATATCCTTTATTTTTTTCAGTTTTATGGTGTTCTTAAAAGTAGACAAACAAAACGTGCAGGCTACAATACAAACATAAAGGAAGCTGAAGTTAAATTTGCTTTAAACTATTTTTAAAAGCTTGTGTCAAATGATAAGCTAAGAAATTAAGAAACAGTTTTACTTCATAAAGGACATTTTGAATTGTATTCAATTACATTGTTTAAAACTGTTTTTTAAGGTATATTTGTAGGCTAGTTTCTTTTTTTGATGGGTTTATGTGACAAAGTTAACTGTTTTTTTCTCCCCATGTCTTTAGGTAAAATATATTGCTGCACTAGCTTTGATTTGTTAGCAAAGTTGGTGGTTTATCTTTTCTTAAAGCATTTGTTCCAATATTTATGCGCAGTTCATTTTTACCCTTGGCAAAACAACCATTAAGCAGACTAAGTTTTTAAAGTGACAGCTACCTGTGATTTGTTTTGGTGACTGATTCTGAAGTACAAAAACATTACGACCACATGCCGCCATCTTTGTTCTGAGCTAAGCTAGCGTGCATTTTCATTATGTTAGTAAAACAGAATGAGTATTTTCATTTTATTTTGTTTGAAACTGTTTCAAACAGATTTCTATAAAGTCTATTTATCTTGCTTGGTCTCCATAATTAGAGTTGTTTTTCTTCTTCAAGTTAGCATAGCTTTGGTTAGCAGCAAAATAAGTAAATACCCTGATTAAGACTGAAAAAGAATTAATACATCTTTTAATATTAGTTGCTTTTATGTTTTATTACCTACATGTTTATCATTTTATGTAAGGTAATTAATCCCTCCTCATACTGAATTCTGCTACAAACATACGTACGTTGTGTATATGATTCTCTACAACACGTGTCAAACTGAAGGCCCATGGGCCAAATCTAGATCATGTTGACATTTAATCTGGCCCTAAAGGTAATACTTTTAATGTAAAATAGAGTTTTAATATTTAGTGTAGTCCTCTAATGGCACTTGACCAGTTGTCAAGTCAAGCAAAATAAGTTTTGAATTTTTCAGAAATCTTCAATTTTGATGCAAAAGAGCAACAGAGGATTGACTTTAATTATTTTTTTCTGTATTCTTTTCTTTTACTTTCTTTTTCTGATGTGCTGGATTTTGATCAAATGTATCTAAGAAATAAATCAAAAAGTTGCTTAACAAATGATTGATAATGATGAGCCTAAAGCAACTTTTTTTCTTTCTCTGTTAGACTATTTATGTTCGAAATGACCAAACATTTTCCCTGAGAGGGCCAAAGTTAAAATCAACTCGAGGGCTGTGGGCCAAATGCAGTAATATAAGAAATGCAAATACTTCTCAAGTAAAGTTGTTTTATTTTTTATGATTAAGCTAGCAGCCAGTGTGGTTGCCCACATTCTCTTTTTCTTTTCAGTCCATGGACATGGAGAATATTCAACAAATGCAAAGGCTCATGAAACTTTTCATAATTTAAAACTTGAGTATATGTGGTCTTATAATGTTTGCAAATCTAGATATGGACTTAAATCTAATATAAATGTCTCTTAAAGTTACTTGTAGTTTATATTTAATCTTATGATAATTCAAGGAAGAAGTGAGTACCATGAGTTAAGACTGTCTGACTACAGCTCCTTGATGTATTGTTGGACCAATGGTTGAAAAGACTAAGTGCAAATATTGTGTTTCTACATAAAACAGGATATTACAATACAGTAAGTAAGTAAGTAAGTAAGTAAGTAAGTAAGTAAGTAAGTAAGTAAGTAAGTAAGTAAGTAAGTAAGTAAGTAAGTAAGTAAGTAAGTAA